TAGATTATAACCAATTTTTGCGGCTTTTCATTAATTTCAACGGGAAAACCTATATCGGTACATGATAGGCAGTCAGTCAGCTTGCTTTTGAGAAACTTCGAGAAACTTCGTACCAACTTCCCATTGAAAATAATGAAAAAAATTGTAAAAAAAGATCGGTTACCCCTCCGGCACAGTAGAATTCTCGACCACAGCACTAACTGCTGTTGCACCACAGCCATCCCGGTGCCTGTACGTGAGGACCGCGTTCATCTGGGAGCTGATTTTGAAGTCACTTGATTGTACATGGATGGATAAAGTCCCCTCAAAACTTCAGCCTCCAAGCTTCACTGACTATTAGTAACTCACCAGCGACCAAAAAAATTTAGAAATATAAAAATTACACAAACAACGAAAACTAAAAAAACGACCTGAATGTGGGTGCAAGAAAAACGCAAATATCGCGAATATGCACCGGGATATTCAGGACTGATAATGTATAGTGTATTAAGCCGGATGTTACCATCAAACCTGGATAAACCTGCAAAAAACTAATAAATTTTTTTGGGCGGAAACATAAAATTCTAGACCAAACTTAGATTTAATTTTAACTTAAAACCAAGCAAAAAATTCCAGTTTTCACTTCAAAATTAATTTTGGGTCTGAGAAGATGGAAAATTTTCGACAAAAAACTGCTAAAATTTAATTTCAGATAAAAAAAAAAAGTTCAAGTTTTGAATGCTACGGCTATCCAACGTATCACTGTGGTACGGTTCACCTTCAGTGAACTGCATGTGTCCAACTAATATCTCGGCCACTGTCCCCTCCAGCCTTCGGCCAATTTCTCACCAGCACGTGAAACTCTAAGCTTTATTAAGTTTACTTTTTAAAACCAATAATGTACAGGAAAACAAACCGTGCCCCCGACAATACGTCCAAGTGGATACCAGGCCCGTTCATCGAACCAATTCAGGAAATTGTAATATCCCTGCTCCACCATATAGCGTGTTGCACGATAATTGAACCTGTAACAGTATGATGAAAAAGCAGAAACAAAGGAAATTTTTTTTTTTCTCTTCGAAAAATCACCTGATCAGTATTGTCGGAAAATCTCATCATGGTTTAGAACAAGGTGGCAATGGTCAGCACGCACTTCAAAACGGCTGAGCCAGGAAGAAGAGTTAGGCTGGTCATGTAGCAAGAATGAGAGAAAACTGACAAGAATGAGCCATGCCAAATTTTTCTGCTGGACGAACTGCTGAGGTGCCGAACTTTAGGAGAGAAGAAATACTTGCACGCTAACAATCAAACGATGCTGCACTGGTCAAAACAACTGGACAAGTTGTAAACTTCGTAACTGAAGAAGCGGTCTATGAATTCCAATTGCTTCAATTATATGGCAGAGAATCAGAGCTGTCACATAATATTTCACATAATGATTTATGGCTTTTTATTAATAAATTGCATAAGTAGTCATTGCATCACTGTGACGCAGAACCCCTAGTACTCGGTTCAATATTAGGACATGCTACCCCCGTAAGCCTTATGCAGTGTTGGTGATCTGTGATCACCGGGGTATAAAAGCAATCCTCCTCATTTTCGGCGTTCAAAGTCGCTGTTTTCGCCACTCAACTCTGTTCCGAGGAGTTCCGGCTCCCCGTTTCGGGTCGCGATAGAGTTCTACTTTCAAAGCAGCATCTCAAACAGAAAAATAGTGGTATTCTAACCAAGACTGGTCATTACTGGCAAAAGTTATCCGCCTTCGAATGTTTTCTCTTATAAAAGAGGAAGAAAATAAAGTGATTTTTTCTTGTTAGTTAATGAAAGATTAGGGATTTCCGGGGCAAAAAAAGGAGCACTTGCCATGGATCGAATTCATGGATGATTGATTCGAAGCGAACAATGGCGAATAGGCGTGATGCGAAGCCAACAAGCCAAGCCAGCACGAGGATGACAAAAGTCAGCAAGCTGGTGATACCCAACGAATTTGCTGCAAGCATTTTACTGCTGCTGCTACTAGTTGATACCGCGCCCGAATCAGCCATCCCTGAAATGCTTTTTCCACAATAACCCACAATTATCAACAAATATCCGGCGGCACACACCAAGGACATCACAAATCGATTAGGATGGACATGCCAAAAACTTCTGTCGCACGAATTGTCACATAATGATTTATTGCTTCTTGTTAAAAATCGCGTATGTGAAGCCATTGCATCATCATGTTGCAACAGCCCTGGTCCGCGTTCAATCTTTGGACATCCTACTACTCCCTTTAGAGTTATGCAATCTTTGTGACCTGTACTCACCGGGGTATAAAACCACTCCTCCTCATCTTCAGGTTCTAGTGATAAAAGCACTCCTCCTCATCGTCAGGTTCTAGTGTTTTTTTGCTCTCCAACCAACCTTATTTTGAGAAAAATCAGAAGAGAACCGCCCACTCGATTTAAGAAAACCAGAAAAGAACCGCAATCACCCCACCGGCATCCATCACACACAAATCACAGCACTGCACCAATGAGAGTCCAATAAATTAATGCCATGTCACTTCAACCATAACAAAAACGCGGCCCAGGGCGTTAAATCTTGTCGGAACTTTTAAAAACACCGATTGCTAAAACTCGGCTTGGCCATTCAATGGGTTTGGGGTGTGGGATGCGAAAATCGCGGTCTTGTACAGTATACCTGATTTTCACCCGTTCAGAATGAAATTTCAGTTGTCGCACACAAAATTTATGAAATTTGGCACAGCATCAGATTTCTTGCTCAGCATAAAAAATCCATATGTGCACACACTATACATGTGTAGGCGGGCCCAGGAAGGGCGGGGGGGGGGGGCGTTCG